TTTTTTTTTTTTTTTTTTAAGTTGGACACATTATCTCAAGTAGAAGAAGAGTCTCTGTTAAGAAATGACCTTCGTCCAGCTAACAAACTTGCTAAAGGAAATAGATTGTTCATGAGATTTGCTACAAAAGGTAAATTTGATATTTGGTATTAATTTTTATAATCAATGAAAATAATTATTGAGTGACGACTTTTCTCTTTTGAATAGAATTCCAAAGTTGCCTTCAAAATGTAATACTCTGTGTTTATACAGTAATGGCTTAAGCCGGTGTAATGGTATATGTACCTGTAATCTTAGCACTTGGAAGGCTGAGGCAGGATTGCTGGGATTTTGAGGCCAGCCCGGGTTACCTAGAGGCCTCAAGACAAGTCTACACTACAAAGTGAGACTCTGTCTTAAAAAGATAAATAAAGAGAAAAATAATGGCTTACAGAATGAGAAGGAAATTCTGACTTTGAAATTGCAGATTAACCATTTATATATTCTTGTTTATTCTGGCTGAAGTAAATTATTTTCTGTTAGATCTGGTTTGCCCATGTGCTTTTCATCCAGTTATCCTGTGAACTAGTAGAACTGTTTTTTTTTTAAATTACACTTTTAGCTGGGTCAGCCTGAGTTACATAGTTCAAAACCAACCTGAACTACATGGTGAGATCCTGCCTCAAAAAAGAAAAAGAAAAAAATTATATTTATTATAGAAATGTCCTCCTGAATATGGTTTTCAGGTCTGGTCCCTCATAAGACTGGGTGCACTGATTTTTGGTGATTATTAAGGTTTATTTAGTTAGATGGGTATATTTGTATGTATGAATGAGGTGTTAAAAAATTACAGTGAATGTTTAAATTTTTAAAAATTTAAAAGAGATGGCTGGGGATTTGGCTCAGTGGTTCCGCCGCCTACCTCCCAAGTGCAAAGGCCTGAGTTGAATCCCCAGTACTACCAAAAAAATAAAATAAAAGACAAATTGTCATTAATGTCCCTCACAATATTCCCCTCAATTCCAATACAGTTGTCCTGTTGTTCTTGTCACTTTCTGAAACAGTTCTGGAAGTCCTCTTTCATGTGTGTCTTTGCTTTTTTTCCTTATTTTTTTAAGACAAGGTCTTGGCCGGGGATTTAGCTCAGTGGCACCATGTCTGCCCCACAGGCTCAAGATCCTGAGTTCAATCCCCAGTAAAACAAACAAACAACAAACACAAGGTCTTGCTATGTAGTTCAGGCTGGCCATGAACTCATTATGTAGTCCTGGCTGGCCTCAAACTCATGGATATCTCCTGCCTCAGCCTCCCAAGTGCTGGGATTACATGCATGTGCCCCCATGCCTGGTATCATGTGTGTCTTTAGTTGTGCTGTCCTGGCTGCTTCAGTGTCCTGAAAATTCATAACATTTAGCTTTCATGGTCAGTTTGACTTTGGGGAAGAGCCAAAAGTTGCACAATGCCAGATTCAGTGAATAAGGTGGATGAGGACACAGTAATGTTTCTGCAAGCCTGCCTTTTTATTGGATGGCATTTGGCAGCAGCATTCACTGTATTTTTATCCAGAACTGCTTCAGAAGTGCCAAGAATAAAGGGTAAGTAGGTTCAAAGTGAGGACAAGTATTTTGAGGGGAATTAATGGCAATATGTAATATATTCTTAAAACTTAAAACTATAATTATTCATTGCTTTTTTTTTTTTTTTTTTTTTTTTTTTTTTATTTTTTTTTTTTTTTTGGTACCAGGGATCGAACTCGGGTCCTTGTGTTTGTGAGGCAGGCAGTGGAACCACTGAGCTAAATCCCCAGCCCTATTCATTGCATTTTTCAATCACACCTTGAATAAGAGTATATAGGCTCGTTGTTTTATGGACTATACCTCAGATTGGGTTTGTTTGATGTTTCCTCCTGATTAAATTTACATTGTAAATTTGCGGCAAGATTACTACAGAAGTGCTGTGCATTGTGGTACACGCCTATAATCCTGGCTACTGGGATGCTGAGACAGAAAGATGGCAAGTTCTAGGCCAGTCTGAGCAATTCAGTAAGATCCTGTTTCGGGGGAAAATAAAAGAAGAATACTCCAGAAGTGATAATGGGTCATTTTCAGTGCACCATACCAGGAACATGAAATCCTATTTCTGAGGCTGTTAACTTCATTTGGTTAAGGTAATGATTATTAGATTTTTTTCCCATTGTTAAGTTGCTATTTGTAATTTTTAAAATGGTGGCAAGATATTTAGAGATTATGTGAATATCTATTGCTTATCATACTTACAGGCAATAATAGATTTAGCATCCATTAATGATTTTCTGACTCCATCATTTATCAATTGGCAGCCTGTTCTAGGGAAGAACTTTGTTCTTTTACCTGTTTACTTATTTATTTATATCAGTTTAGACTTGTGGATTCTTATTCAGTGAGTTCTTCTCCATTACTGTCATTATTTTGATTCAAAAACTGTCTTGACAATAAATCCCCTTCAAGCTGTGTTTGACCTGCCCCATGATTCTTCAAGCACTTTCTTTGTAGCACACAAAACATCTTGTTTTTCTATACTTAGTTTGTACTTTATCTGCCCCAGATCTGGAATCAGCCATTTCTTCAAGGAGTTGGTAGGCATGGTTTTTTTTGTTTTTTCGAGATTTGAGGGTATGCACACACTGACTGGATACACATTTACAGTTGTGTTTATCCTTTGCAGTCGGAGGTATCCAAGGAGCTGCTTAAGGCCTTTGTTTATGTCCTGCTTTTGACAAAATGTGTGATCACCTGTCCTTTTTCTTAACTGGCACTTAATTATGACAGCTATGATCTTTTCCACATGTACTCATTTCAGTGACTACTTGAGTGTGTTTTGGAATTACAGAATTATGCTGTTTTCTTCAAGCCATTTTGAAGGTTATCACAATAAACTAGAAAAATATTTACCAAAATATGGAATTATGTATAGTTTGATTGTTTAACCCTTTTTCTGTGTTTTTGAAGTGTTTGTTATTTAGAAATACTATCTTTCAGCCAGGTGTGGTGGCACATGCCTGTAATCCCAGCACTCAAGAGGCTGAGGCAGGAGGATCACTGTGAGTTTGAGACTAGCCTGAACCACATAGCAAGACACTGTCAAAAAGAAAAAAGAAAGAAATACCATCTTTCAGAGGACAGCAAAAATGCCACCTCTTCTAAAAACCTCTGTTATGCCTCTTAGAATCTTAACTCTGTATTGCGTATTTTTAGTAGTATTTCCTGTGTTAAAATTAGTTGACCCCTAAACAGCAGCTTAACCTTATTCGTCTCTGCATTTTACTCTACTTCCTTCATACTCAGAGAAGGAATATTTATAGTGCTTCTTTCCTTTTTGTTGGGAGACACTGATCCCAGCTGTGGAGTCTCCCATCCTCAGGAAATCCTAGGTAACTGTTACAATTAATTTTTAGATGACAAAAAGGAACTTGGAGCAGCCAGAAGAAGTCAGTATTACATGAAATATGGGAATCCAAATTATGGAGGCATGAAAGGAATTCTTAGCAATTCTTGGTGAGTCCAAAACCTTAAATTACAAGTTTAAATAGTACTTAAGTTTTCTATAGTCCTTCAATCAGTATATGATAGTAGAATGTCAAAAGACAAGAGGGAAGAATTCAGGACTCTTAAATGTGGTAAATGATAGGAATATGTTTCAGTTTCTTTGAAAAGCTGTGTTTCAACACCTAGCACTTTGTTAGTATGTAATAGAAATGAATTAGTGGATTTCAAGACGCTTCCTATTGGTTTCTGATTATGTGTTTACTTTGGCATTGTTGCAGGAAGCGAAGGTATCATTCCCGTCGCATTCAGCGGGATGTGATTAAGAAGAGAGCTCTGATTGGGGATGATGTTGGCTTGACGTCATATAAGCACCGACATTCTGGTAGTTGCCTGCTCAGCTCTTGGGTAGACACATGTTTGGCTCTCGAAATCATATTTTTATTCTTAATGCAGTCTTTTAAGGTTCCAAACTTTATCATCCTCTCTTCCTTGCCCTCACCCTCTGCCAACATATAGGAAAGTAAGTCAAGTCACAGTTAATTTTAAATTGCCCAAGCAAAGAGGTCAATGATTTTATTAAAGCTATTATAGCAACAAAGGCCAAATGTGACATAGGGCAAATTAAAAGAAAAGTTTTCTTGAAAACCTAATTTTTCTATTAATATCAACAACTGCATGTAAAACATTTTAGTTATTTTATCAAACGGACTGATTTTATTGTTCATTTTCTGATAATGAAAGGCTGCTGTTTTGAATGCTTTAGTGTTTATTGTCTTGCACATGAATACCTCAGAAATGTGGGATATTATGACTATCATGACTTGGATTTTTGTCTTTCGTGCATATAAAAGAATAATTTTCATTATATTTTACAATGATAGGTCTTTATTTTGAACTTAATGTGTGGAATCTTCTACATGCTTTATAGAACTAGTCAAGTCAGCATATAAACAGAATAACATGCACACACAAATATTGGAATGGGGCGGGAAGAGATGAAGTCTATACATTTTTATTTAATGCATATGTATAGAATTGTATGTTTAAAATTTGCATATTAATCCTCTTACATAGTTATACTTTCGATTTCAGTTATTTTAAGATGCTTTTGTCATCTGTTCTCTATGTTCATATTAACAAAATTAAAAAAACAAATGCCCATAATTCTAGCACCCTAATGAAATAACTGATTTCAACTTCTCATTTGTCTGCTTTCATAATAAATATTATACTTCTTATAATTATATACTTTATCTTCATTTTTTCTACTTACAAGCATTTTTCTGTGAACTTTAATATTAAGAGTTGATTTTCCATTGTGTGGTGTGGTTAGGTGCTATGAAGTCACTGTGGACATTGGATTAAGACGTATTGAACTACACAGTGTCTGGTCACACTGTTTTTATGAACTAATCAAAATGTAACTTTATTTTTCTGTTTTAAAAATCCCTTATTTAATATATATTGTTGGCAAACATTGAATTCATAGCCAACAACAGTATAGCTGAAATCCGAATGAGGGTGATCTAGTGCATGCATTTTCTCTCTAAGGCACCTCATAACCTTCTTGCACTTAACATTACTAGACGGCACTTTAACACTATATTTGGGGGTCATTTTAAACAATGAAATCAACAAAATGCACAAAAATATGAAAAACGTGACAGTCAACAGGCAGTGAAAAGGACACTTTCTTAGCACTATGAGAGATGAGACAGGAAGGTAGAGTGTTGCTTTGCTTGACCTCCACTGGAGCAAGTTCATCCAGGACACAGTTTTTTTTGCTGCTCTGCATGTCCACAAATGATCTTGAAACTACCGTGAGTATTGATTTAGGAGTTACAGATGAATTTTGAAAATTTGCATTTATAAATCTTGTGAATAATGAAGATGATTTATAATTTAAATGATTTAATAATGTTCCATTAGGCTGCTAGACCATACTGTCCCTAACCATTCTGTTACAAGCATCAGGATGGTATCTGGCTTGTCGTTGTTATATATAGTGCTTCGCTAGAATCTTGGGGCTGGATTTGTTTTTTGTTTTGTTTCGTTTTTCACCACAGTAGAATAGAAAGTCATACTTGTTAGTTTTAGACTAAGCTTTTCCTGTTTTTTGGTTAAATTTTTTCAGGATTAGTGAATGTTCCCGAGGAACCCATTGAGGAGGAGGAGGAGGAAGAAGAGGAAGAAGAAGACCAGGACATGGATGCAGATGACCGGGTGGTGGTAGAGTACCACGAGGAGTTCCCAGCTCTCAAGCAGACTCGGGAGCGGAGCACGTCCAGGCGGTCCAGCGCCAGCAGCTCAGACTCAGATGAGATGGACTATGATCTGGAACTGAAAATGATTTCCACTCCCTCTCCAAAGAAAAGCATGAAAATGACTATGTATGCTGATGAAGTAGAATCTCAGCTGAAAAGTATAAGGTAAAAACTTTCATCAGTGCTAGCTTTAATTTTTTTTTTTTTTTTAATGTGGTACAGAAGATTGAACCCAGAATTTTGTACTTGCTGGGCAAACACTGCCACTGAGCTAAACCCAGCCCTTTAATTTGATTTTAAATAGTAATTGTACACTTAATTCCTTTTAATTTTATAATCACTTTTATTTGTTCTAATTTCAGTCCTTTGTAGGAATTGAATACAAGCATCTCATTTTTCCTCTGTACAAGCATTGATTCTTGTTATATGAACTGTAAACAGCAAAGAAAGCAAAAATCACCATGCCTTGCAAGCGCAAGGTCCCGAGTTTGATCCCTGGTACCAAAAAATTCCCAGCCTTTTCTGACAGTGACAACTGTTAGTAATTGGGTGAATAGTCTTCCTGTTATATTTATGCATATGAATAATGTATGGAGAAACCATATAGGAATATATATTTGTATAAAGATGAAACTGTGCTATTTATATTCTCTGCAAAGTGCTTTCACATTTAATAAACTGTAAACATCTGTTACTTTTTTCAACCATATGTAATCCATTGTTCGAAAGTAAAATCTGGAATATTGGTGATTTCCTTACAGAGAGTTTTACTCACATTACTACTTATTACCCAAATCATCATCAGTCTTTGGTATTACCATTATTCTTAATCTTTGCTGATTTCGTGAACAAAAAGTATGTAGTTATTTTAATGTGAATTTCTTTGATTAGGAGTAGGGATGAGCTGATTCCATGAGAACAGAGTATATCCATAACTCTCAAAGAGATGGATTTTAGGGACGTCCAGAGATGCTTTTGGTCATGTATTTGGGGAAAAAGAGAGGACCTTTAAAAGTGATTTGTTTGTTTGATTTGTTTGCATCTTTAATTGTAGTATTCATAGCACTTTCTAGCAAGTGTGCTGACAGCATGATAGCAGATCTCCTTGGCAGAGAAACCTGCCCTTTGAAGAAGGGTAGTGTACACTGTCCTGTGTCTTAAGGCTAGCCAGATCGTGCCCTGGGTGAGCAGAGAGCCCCAAGCTCTTTGCAGGCCTCTACCTCGTGTTTGTCTCAGGAGGAGGGGGCACTTGTAGTTAGGAGCTCTGTGATTATATATGTATATCATGTGTGGAAACCATCCTGGGAAACAGCAATACCTGCTTGCCGTCCAGTCTTGTTGATTATAGTTTCACTAAGCAAGTTATTACTGGTATTCTTGGGGCTGAGGAGGTAGCTCAGTGGTAAAGTACTTGCATAGCATGTGTAAGGCCCTGGGTTCAATTCTCAGCACCACCCAAAAAAAGCAAAGAAAAGAAAGTATATAATGTTTGTTAAGTGAATGCAAACTGTTAGATTGGGTTTTCTCAAAAATAGAAGATTATTGTTTGAACATTGTCTTCCAGTTGAAGTTGAATAACTGTTTTTTTATTTTTAAAAAGGAATTCCATGAGGGCAGATAGTATATCCACAAGTAATATCAAAAACCGAATCGGTAACAAATTGCCACCTGAGAAATTTGTAGATGTCCGACACCTCTTAGATGAAAAACGTCAATACTCACGTCCACGGCCACCAGTCAGCAATACTAAATCAGGTATTGTTCTTTTGAGGTCCTGAAATTCAGTCCAAGATCCAGAGAACAAATTGGGACAGGGCTGGGGTCTTGGATAACATGTTGGTATTCTGAATTGATTTAATTGTCCCTGTTCATCACATCTAAATTTTGGGTTAGGTATTGGAATTTCATGATTAGACAAAATAATCAGACTTAGGCAAAACTGCTTTTCAGTATATTGTCTGAACCATTGCTTTACTCTGTATATCATTGGTATGCTTTATATATGAGAATAATAGAAATTAAGTTGGGAGGTTCTATAAATGGTTAAGAGTTCAGACTAGATCATTTATGCCTGCACACTCTGATATGGCAGGTGTATGGCTGTGCTTGCTGTGTACCAGGCCTTAAGCCAGGAGCTGACATGTGAGAAGGTTTTGTAGGGCTACAAAGCAACTGTAGGTCTACCAGGAAAACTGTGCAAGGAAGGCTTCTTATAGAAAGTGGCTTTAGAGTTGGGCTTTTGGAAGAGAATAGGATCTCAGCTGACAAACCTTATTTTTTGAGGTGGGAAGTAACCTAATCAGCTATTTTAGAATGATAAAATATCATTCTACTGGGGAGAGTGGGATGGGATAGAGAGTTCCGTTAAGTGACAAGTGCCCATCTAGATCAGAGGCAGCAGAGAGAATGAGAATGGGATGTATTGGGAAGGAAAGACTGCTGGAAAGTGAGGGAGGAAATGCAGAGAAGCCGTGGAGGGGTTTGAATGAGATGAGCAAGAGCCCCAGCACAAGGCCTTGCTAATAAATGTGTTGCTGCTGCTGTTAAGGGGTACTCAGGGACAGGCAGCTCTTTGAGCAGGTTGTGGAATTTGGTTTGGGACATTGCTTTTTGCCATTCTCATTGTAGCTACTGACTAAATGTATTAGGTTTATTGAGAACTATTTATATTTTCAAAGATTGCTTCTGCCCTTGGAGATCTTGTGGTATTGTTTATTAAGCTGAAGTGTTTTTACATTGCTTAGTCTTGTTTAGTTCTTCCCCAAAAAAGAAAAAAAAAAAAGTGATTCCGCTTCAGGAATTCTGTTCTGAAGCAATCGGCTCAAGGTTTTTTTGTTTTTTTTCTCCTGATAGCCCTGGTATCTCCTTTCCGAAGGGGAGTCCAGACCAATTACAAAGATAAAAGGCTTTTAGAGACCTAGTTATGTCAGGTCCTCTGTTTTCATTTGGGGAAATAGGGTTTCAGGTCCTTTAGAGATCTGAGCTTGACAGTATGACTAGTGAAGCAGTTTTTTCTTTTTCCAGACATACGCCAGCGGTTAGGAAAAAGACCGTATTCTCCAGAGAAGGCTTTTAGTAGTGTCCCAGTGGTTCGGAGAGAGCCTTCTTCAGATGTACATAGTAGACTAGGTGTTCCCAGGCAAGATGTTAAAGGCCTGTACTCAGATACTCGGGAGAAGAAGTCAGGTGAGTAACACTTTAAAATGAAGGGAATGGGAAGAATTTAGAAGTATAGACTGGAAGAGGCACAGGCCAAACAAATGAGGTTTCCTCTTTCATTATCTTGGTCTTGTCACCATAGTCATCATCATGCTAGAAGGGAACTTAGGAAGTAAGTTTCTTTCAGTTTAGCACAAATCCTTTCTAGTTTCACGTATGTATTTCAGTCTTTTTCTGTATGCACAGTCTACTCTTTTTGTACAGCATCTTACCATAGTCATTTTTCCACATTGTTGTACTCTTCGTAAATAAAACTTTTAAGTGCCTTATACAGTGGTACATTGGTTCACCATTGGTTCACAAACGCTTTTGTTTGTGAACAGTTTGGTTTGCAAACAGAAGTGTTTGGCAAATCCATATTGGGTGGTAAATGTGACTGTGGCCATCTTTCCTGTACAAACCCAGTGTGGCCATCTTTTCCAAAATTGTAGGATTATTTGTTCGTGAACTGAGTCGGCACTGTATGTGCCTGTATCACAAAATTCTAAGCATATATTTCTCTTTTGTTAATAAAATATACTTAAAGAATTAAAGGATGGTAAGACAGAAATCTAAAGTGTAACAGAACCCTCAATTTATAGAATGTTAGAGCTGGCAGCTTCCTTGCAGAATGAAGTGGTCTTCAGTGTGGATAAGACTCATGAGGGAGCGTCAGGTATGACAGGAAACCGTCTTAAGAGATTCTCATGTGTAGCGTGGGTGCACCTGCCCCAGCAGTGAGAATCTCCTATTAAGTCCCGACCCCTCCATGCAGGCAGGGGCAACAGCCAGGGAAATGAGATTATCTACCAAAGGCTGCACTGTAGTTGTAAGTGCCGCAGACCAGTGATGTTTTCTGCATGTCATGCGCAGAGCCTCAGAACCACCTGGTTCTCAGTATTGGCTACCAAACTGAAATGCCTTTTTACCCATACAGGTAGCTTATGGACTCGTTTAGGATCTACACCCAAGACCAAAGAAAAGAATATGAAGAAAGTGGATCACAGGGCGCCTGGCATGGAGGAAGATGACTCTGAGCTGCAAAGAGCGTGGGGGGCTCTGATTAAGGAGAAAGAACAGTCTCGCCAAAAGAAGAGCCGGTTAGATAACTTACCATCTCTCCAGATTGAAGTTAGTCGGGAAAGCAGCTCTGGTTCAGAGGCAGAATCCTGATGTCCCCGGGGCCTGTGGCAGCTGCCCAAACCTTGATGTTCTCACACAGGGTGGGGCACAGTAGAAACCTCCCCTGCTGGAGTTGGTGCCCCTCTTGTTCCTGCTCATACCATCACCCTCAGCTCTTGCTACTTCAGCAAGACATCTTAAGAATGTGACCAGTTTTGAAGGGCATCTCTCTTTTGCTGCAGTTATACAAAAATTAGTTCTGGGCCCTCAATTTTTTTCCCACCGCCCCACAGCTTTATCCTTTGCGAGAAAGGCAGCCCTCCAGATTTTGTAGACATTTTTAATATTTTTAACATTGTATCTTTTAAAAGAAATGTTTTACACAGTTCATCCAAAGAGCAGAGAACTGAACTTCTCACTATTGCCTTGGCCCTGACAGCTGTTACCAGCACCCTTTTCCCAAGAAAAGTCAATTCCCAGGTGCTTATTGGACAGACTTCGAGGGGGAAGATGAGGGAAGCTGCCAGCTCGCCCTTCCGGGATCCTAGTGTGGGGGCGACTGTCACCGACCTGACCTCAGAGGTGCACCAGTGCTGGCCAGGTAGATAAGAGACACAGCATCAATCGCGCTTCCATTCCTCCCTGGGGGGGTTTCTGTTAGGGGCTCTTACATTGGCTGTCAGCTTGATGTGAAGATCAAGTTCAGTGCTGTGGGACTTTTAGGAATAAAAAACTGTGACTTAAGGATATGGGGTTGATTTTTGTGCTAGGGTTGGGGTCATGGGTTAATGCTGAACAGTTTTTAAGTCTGTACGTATTATGTTTAAAATTATTAATGATTTAAAAGTTTAAATTTTTAATTTTTATATGTGGAAGTTCTTCCTGTTGGCTACAGGGGAAACTCAAGTGGTGTCTTCTTTTGTGCTGTTAAATATATACTATATACTTTGGAAGAAGGAAAAGAGAAGAGTCTCATTATTTTTAAATGACCCTAATTGTATGGTCTATGTGTTATATATAGAGTTCAAGTTGCTTTTTGACCACATAGCAAAACAAACAAACAAACAAACAAACAAACCCATTGGAGATGGGATCTTGTTTTTTATCACTTTAGAAGTGAAGATAATTTATTCTTTTGGTCTCCCAAGTTGTGGCTGAAGATCTCTTTAAAACTGGCAAATAATATTGTCAGAAAGTTTTAGTTTAAACTCTTTCAGATAATTTTACCATGGAAACAAGGTAGTTTTTTTGTTTTGTCTGTACATCTGATTTTTATTTTGAAGTGTTTAATTGTTCTGCAGGCTTTAAAATAGTGTTTCATTTCAATTCATTAGATCTTGGGAGTTATAGATATTAGTAAGCCTTTGTCCCCCTGTGATGTCACATTCTTCACTACTGGATTGTTTTGCACTCAATGAATCCTGGGTCCTAGAACCTTTGCTTGTGGCTTGAGCTGATGTCACACTGATAGTTGGTTACACTGGGGTGTGACTGAATGCATACAGAATAGTGTTGTTAATTAAGAAAGTAAAGGGCTCAGACTTCAGGTTTGTATTGAAAACTGCATTGTAGCATATTTTGTGCCCCCGCCATGCCATGTTTCAGGTTCCCAGGATTCTAAGAAAGAGGTCACATTGGTTTCTCTGCCAGCTGAAACCTAAAGCTTTGGACATTTTTCAGCTTTTTTTACCTTGTGAATCACAGCTCAGAGCCAGGTTCTTAGGAGGAGGGCTCAGGGCTTGTTAGGGTGAGAAGTGCAAGGGCCTAGGAGTTGAGATACGTGGGTGCCAATCCCTGACCCTACTTCACAGACCTGGGCCTTAGTCTCCCTGGCTAGCAAATGAATGGGGTGGTACTGAGATTCTGGATTTGTTGGTACAGCTCAGTGGTGTTTTATTCTTCCCGAAGCTGTGGCTGCAGTGGACTGACTAGCACTACTTTCTGTTGCAGATGGCCAAAGAGTCAAGGAGACAACTAAGGGCAGGCATGAGGTTGTGGGCGGGGACTCATCCGTAATCCATTACAGTTTCTGGTTCTGCTGTGGGGTTAATGACTATGGTCTCCACAGCGCTTAGGAAATGTCCCTCATAGGCTTCCCTTTTTGTTTCCCAGCCATGGTGCTATCCCACCAGTAGTTCAGGCACATTTGCCCCTTGGCCTCTCAGTACTTGCCAACCTCCTGCCAGAGACCATGGAAGACTATAGAAGAAGGGTGATGTGCATTCAAAACTGGGCCTTTGGTCTAACCATAAAAATGCCCATTTCAGAAGCCTTATGGTTCTCACAAACACAGAACCCAAAAAGATAGCTTTAGGAATTTATTTCTTATAAAGTTGTTGGCCTTCCTTACCTCTCTCTGTGGCCTGCACTCAGCCACTCGGGTCTTGTAGCATCTTGAGCATGCCCTGAGTGCCTACCTTGTCCCTGGAGTTAGGAGTGAAGGGTACAGTCAGGACAGCCCGACAAGCAGCTTGGCGTGCTTTTCTCCCAGACGTATCTGTACACACAGGGCTGCACACGCTGTACCATTCCTCTCAGTCCTTAGAGGTAGGAGATTTTAAATACTATTTTGCTACTTGATAATAATTGCAGATACCTCATTTCTCTTTCCCTTCTCCTTCTTGGGAGAACACCAGGCACACAGGAGAGCTTAGAAGAGCCCACCACAATATGTTAACACTCCTCCCGCCCCTACGTAGTCTTATCCCATGACTCATTCCCTGGTTCAACCCCTGGTTTACCCTGCTCCCATGCCCTAACTCTTCCCTTCCAGGCTGCACACTGCAGTTAGGATGAACTTTTGTTGTTAGCGGTTTCATTGAGATATGATTTGCGTAGTATAAAATTCACCCATTTAAAATGTACGTGTCAGTGGGTTTTTCTATATATTCAGAGTTGTGCAACCGTCACCATAATCACATGAGATTGGGCGTGTTCAGGGTGATGTGGCCGTAGACCATCACCATAATCAACTTTAGAACATTTTTATTATCAAAAAGAAATCTTGTACCCGTTAAGACTCCCTCCTCATTCTTCTTTCTCCCTAGCTCCTGGCAGCTACTAATCTTTCTGTCTTTGTAGCTTTGCCTTTTCTGGTCATTTGATATAAATGAGGTCATATACTATATGTTTGTGACTTGCTGCTTTCACTTAACACATTTTCAAAGTTCATCCATGTTGTCACTTGTATCTGCACTTCATTTTTTTAAATTGCAGAATAATATTCCATTGTGTATATCACATTGTATATTCCATGTTTTATTTATCCATTAATCAGCTAATGAACTTTTAGGTTATTTTCACCTTTTGGTATTTTGAATAGGTTTCTATGAACATTTATATACCTGTTTGTTGTTACTTGTTTGTTTATAGACATATGTTTTGTTTGTTTTGTGTGAGGGTCTCACTGTGTAGTCCAGGTTGGTCTTGAACCACTATGTAGCCCAGGCAGGCCTTGAACTTGTAGCAATCCTCCTGCCTCAGCCTCCAGAGTATTGAAATTACAGGCATGAACTACCATGCTCACCAGTTTTTTGGGTTTATATCTAGGAGTGGAATTTCTGGGTGATATGGTAACTCTTTTTTGATTGGACCCAGGGCCTTGCACATGCTAGGCAACCATTCTTCCACTAAGCTACATCCTTAGCCCTTTTTAAAATTTTTGATACAGGATCTCACTAAGTTCCCCAGGATGGCCTTGAATTTGTGATCCTGCTTCAGCCTCCTGAATAGCTGGGATTATAGGCATATGCCAGCATGACCTAATAAGCATCTCTTCAATCCTTTGGGAAATTTCAGGGCTGATTTCCCAAACAACTGTATCATTTAGCATTCCTGTCAGCAATGTGTGAGGATTCCGATTTTTCCACATCTTCAACAACACTTTTTTAAAAATAAGAAATGGTATCTCTGTGGTTTTGATTTGTACTTCCTTAGTGCTCAATGATGTTGGCATCTATTCATGTGCTTCAGGATGAACTTTTTGAAATGTAAATTTGATCTTTTTATTCCTGTGCTTGAAACCTTTCCAGAGCTTCCTTATCCCCTTTGGAATAAGTCCAGGCTCCTTTGACAGCTCATAAAAGCTGGTTATGACCTAGCCTCTGGGCCTGCTCTTCTCTGCCCTCTGCTCACTAGTTCCCTGGAGCCATCATTGCAGAAGGGGATGCCAGGGTACTAGGTATTGAACTCAGACCCTTTACACTGAGCTTTATATTTATTCCTTTAAAATTTAAAAAAAAATTTGAGACAGGGTCTTGCTAAGTTGAGAAATTAATTACTCTGGCTGGGCTTGAACTTGGAATCCTCTTGCTTCAGTCTCCAGAGGTGTGCACGGCACCTTCTGGATCCACCTTGATCTCACCAGCTGTCCACACTCAACACAGCACACATTCCCAGTGACACATTTTCCCGGTCCTCATCTCCTGTCACCTCAGCCTTGAGCTCTTAGGAGCCTCTCCAGGATGAAGTCCTCAGTGTCCAGAGCCAAGGTACAGGTTCTGTGTGTGTCCCACTGCTGACGTGGAGTCTTACGGATGTAACGTCAGTACCTAAGATAAAATTGAGTATAATCAAAATTCCTCTTGGACCTCCTACCTGGGCTCACAGAGGGAATGTGGGGAAGGTGGAATGGCCTAAGCAACTTGAAGTTGTTTTTTTTGTTTTTCTGCTTTTAAATAACTTTTCAGACTGAAACCATTGTGTTTGGCTGAGTGAAGTACCTGTATTGTCAAATATGCTGTATTCATCAGCCCAGCACCTGCACACTGGACTGGAACTTTCTAGTCCTAGTTTGTCTGTTTTGCTAGACTGTAAGCTCCATGAGAGCAGAGCCATGTCTGGCTTGTTCATTGGGTTTCTCCACACCTCCACCCAGGCCTGGCACCTAGCAGATGCTCTCTGAATAGTATGGAATTTGTAAATCCCCAGCCTCAGAGCAGCTTTATCTGAAGCTCCCAAGCCATTACAGGACAAGCCTCCTTGTTCTACCATATACAAACAATGGCTTACTCTAGCCTGTGAGCTCCTAACGAGCAGGTATCTTCATGTTTTCTCTCTATCCTTGCACCAGGACAATCCAGAATTAGGAGTGCTTCAAGTGTTTGGGAAATGAATGAATCACTGTAACCTGGGTCTGCTTTTGCACTATTGTCTACAAGCTAGAAAATTCTAGGTGAGATCACCAGATACACAAGGAGGGTCTTCAGTGGTACATACACTGTGCTTATGTAAGATACAGCTCTCAGGTAGGCCTCGGTAAACATCCAGCATTGATGACCATGACACATCTGAACTGAAGTTGACCCAGCTCTATAAAGGATTTGCTAGCAAAGCATGCAGTCTAGAGTATTTTTTTAGAAAAGCGTTTATCTGCCCCAAGGAAGGAGGAAAGGAAGCTGACGGGTAGGTGAGAGGCCCTAAAGAGACTGCTGAGCCAGTTCTTAGGCTCTGATCCTTCTGGGATGGATGTGACAGCCATCTAAAACAGGTGACAAGAAACAGCTCATTTCCAGCAGCAACTTTTTTTGCCTAAAGTAGCATTCCTCAGGCTTCCCGAGTAGAGCGTTGTGAAGGTAACAGGAAAATGCTCACACGCACTTTGGATTGTCATCAACAGCAAGTTACGTACGGCTCTGCAGATTAGTTAACTGCTGCCCGTCGATGCATAAGTATTTGCTTTTATAGCAAGAAGTAGGTTAGAAATTAAACCATTTTTTAAGAGCTAAGAAGAAAGCATGCTCTTGGTAATCTTGAGAGTAGCACATTTGCTTCAAGGCAGATTGTTATTGTGTCACTGGACCCACAACAAACATTAGAACTTTTCTTAAATGTTTATAAAATAAATCTTAGAAAAAAGTACTGTAACTTTTTTCCCCCAGTGAAATTCTATGAATGTTTCACACAACTTTGTTGTTCCTGGAAGCAGTTAGGGAATGCTGCCTCAAAAGTCTGTTTTAAATAGTTG